GGCCAAGACTGCGGGAATTCCCATTCCCCCAGATATCCCCAAGTCAGCTCTTATTGGGGGTACGATCAAGCGCTTGTCAACTCGAAAGACCAAGCAAACCTTTGTTGATGACTGGTCAGAAGACGTTGAGCTCCCGGGTCCTGAAACCATGTTACAGCTCAAAACTCCTCAGGAAACCATGTTTCCCGACTCCCTTCGACATTTGAGCTCCGCTGCTACCAGTCCAGTGAAATCCATGGCCTCACCACATTGGGATGAGGAATTCTCGACGCGTTTGCAATCTACCTTGGGACTATTTGACACCTTCCAAGATGACCATGATAGTCTGGAAACTCGAGATATCCCAACCCTCAAATCTCCAACCCCACGATCTCCGAAGAAATTGACCATTGGCAATGTTAGCAGTAGTTTCAATATTGAACAGGAAGCAGACGACGACTTCAACCAGGATTTTGAACTTCCCGCCAATCATCAACCTCTGGAATTATCCAATCGAAAAGCGAATTTGTACGTTTCCAGTCCTACTTTGGAGGACTTTGATCTTGAGTGGTCTGAAGGAAGCATCGGTGTACGAGTTGGTGGTACCGCAAGGGATGGTCGTTCAGTTCCCAGTTCTTCTATCTCCATCGCCAGCCCCAGCGTTTCAAGCTGCCTCACGGCGGAAAGTGAAGACGATGGCCTCGACGGTATCATCATCCCCGATGGTCCCCTTGATTTCAGTGCTTCTCTGCAGAAGCGACAGACTGCCCAGGCTCAGAATGTTGAAGCGGGAGAGAGTCAGGTGGATCATATTTTTTCTGACGCTGACGACTTCTTTTCTGGCATTGATATCGACAATGAGAAGGCTTTCTCCTTTGGAAAACCAGCTCTAAATCCCAACATAAAGTGCAAGACAGAACGGCCATCCAGCCCGGCTCGTCGATCTGCAACAACACTCACGTTCACCAGTGCGACAGGGTCTCCGCGAACTCGCATCCCACGCCTGTCTGGTCATGACCGGACCCATTCAACCCACCTTGAAACTGTATCAGAAAGTGGCGCGCCTCTTTCCAAATTTCGAACATCACAATCGCGTCTAGGGCATTCGTCTCAATCGTCAACTTCAAGTCTCCCTGCCCCTATCGCTAATCCGACATCGCCGACCCCTACACTCTCTGGTCGACGGCTTCTCGGGTCTCGCAATTCCCGGGACATTTCCCAGGGCAGCGAGGGTAACCTTTCAGTTAGGCGTTTGAAGACCAAGCGATCCCTACCATCCATTCGTGGCTTAGGCTCGACCCCTTCAATGACCGCTTCCCATAGACCACTGGTCGATCGTCCAGTTCGCCTTCCCTCTGCCAGACCTAAAACACCGGTTGATCACCCCGCAACTGATGCGAGATCACTGGGTCGTAGGCCACAGGTGCCATTTATGCCGGCTGGTGTATCGGAATCCCAATCACACCATGCCAGTGTGAAGGGGTATCGCTCGTCACGTCGCACCAATTCGGATAGCTCTGGTGGACTTCTTAGTCCGCAGGAGACAGTCTCTCGACTCTCCCGACCAACTCGCAGTGAGCCGTTTCGTACTGGGGTTGGCGACACAATCGCCGACTCTCTCGGTTCCTCTACGAAGCGTACAATCACACGACCTGCCAAAAGACGCAATTTCGGGGATGGAACAGAGTTGGAGTCGTTTGATGACCTATCTACATCTGTCTTGGCAGAGAGCAAGTTCGTCAAAACCCCCACCGGTCGAGGTGCTCCAAGGTCCGTCCGCGCCAAACTCAGTCAGAGCCGGATTGACCCCCCACCTGATGAATCCCCTACCCAATCTTTAACGTCGCCATCAACCTCCAAATTGCGCAGTCCAACACCTAGGTTTGCGCGAGATACAAATGCATCCAGAAATGCAAGGGAACAACGCATTGCATCCATGGCTATTAACTCGAAAGCCCGTGAACCGAATCCTCTTTCAACCTTCACCTCAAACTGGAAGTCCCAGCCTATCTCGAGGATCCCTCCGGCCTCTGCAACGATCAGAAGCCGAAAAGGTAAATCGAATGCCAACTCAACATCTAAGCCGCACTTGATCAAGCCCATGGGATCTGGGGTGCAGGATGCCAAATGTAAGCAATGTCTTTGATCTCTATTTACATGATTTGCCCCAGCTGTAGCTCATTGTTAACCCGTTTTCAGCTGTGAGGGGTATGCGTTACAACCCTACCAATTTCCGGTGGGAAGGAAATGAAAATTTGGTTCAAGAATTTGATGCGACTCCCAAATCACCCAAACCTGCACCAGCTCTCATCACCAATGTTGGCGCGATGCAGAATGTCCAGACCGTTGGTGGAATGGTCTTCGATCCACATCGCATGTGTTGGCTCAGGGCATCTCTTGGGGCTGCTGACGAAGACGACGTGTTTGCCGGTCTGGACGACTTGGATGACAAAATCACCAGTAGCACGATCCATGGACGAAATTCTGGAGCGATTGACCAATTCCCAGTAGTTGGGGATGATGCAAGTGCCGGTGAATCCTCTGACGAAGGGCCTATGACCGAGGAATTTGATGTCGGCCCAGAATTCATTCGACGACAGCGGGTGGAGGAAGACAAGTGGAGACGCAAGGTTGACAAATGGGTTGGATTCGATCGAGGCGATCACGACCACGAAAATCATTGGAGATGGATCATCCGCGATTTAGTGGCCTTTGACCACCATCGGGGATCAGCATAGAAGCATGCCAGATTTGACATCTGCAGAGCTTTTTCCCGGACAGGGGTCGCCTTCTTTTTACCTGCATGTACATGTACTAACCCAAAGCCCATACACGAACTTACGACATGAAGACCATTGGCCGTGATGATTCGGCCGATGTCACGAATTTATGGTTTTGCTTTCTTTTTCTTCTTTTCTTTTGGTTTTTCCAGGCATATCTGACCAAGGGGGCAGAATGCTATGTAACTATATTTTTTGTCTGGGTACATACAGTTTAATATGTCTTTTTTTCGGGGGGGCATTGTCCTTCTTTTTGAGCCGTCTATACTACATGTATATGTATATATATCTCTATATCTATACTAGATTCTATACGATACGAGTATACTCCGTCGATTTAGAGAATATATCGGACTCGGGAATATCCTAAAAACAAAAGCCCCGAGAAAAGAAAGAATAAAAAAAGGAATCGGGAAGCAGCAGAGTAACACCAGATATGTTTTGGACTGCGAGGGTCCGAACCTTGAAGAAGTCGGATGTGTCTCACTTTCAGCCAAACGTATGTCATCCTGTCGTCCCGGGTACTTCACTCTTCCTCTTCCTTGTACACTCCCCTGTACACTCCCCTTGTACTTCCTGTCTCTCTGCTTTTTTTTGGGCTTTCTTTTTCTTTTCTTTTTCTTTTTTCATCCCTTTTGATCCTTGAAACCTTGCCAAAAGTCCCCGATCCCAAGTCTTGGCCTCTGCAAATGCCACGTCAAATCAAAACACCTTCTCACACGGATGCTCACTTGCATCTCTACCCATCTGGGGAAGAAAAAAAAAAATTAAAATTAAAAATTAAACAAGTGGCACAGCATGGCTCAGATACAGCACAACATTGACATGGCAGGGATTGCCCCCTAGGAGACTTCAAATCTCGAGGAATTCATCTCAATTGCCTCAGAGCAGTTGTTCGTACATCAATGTACGCTCTATCGATGAGGTCCCCCATTCTCTCTTCCTCTTCTCTTCCCCGCACTCTCTCCCTCTCCCTCCCTCCCTCACTCTCTCTCTCTCTCTCTCTCTCTCCCCCCCCCCCCCNGGATGAACCCAACGGGAAGAAAGCTCAAGGGATGCAGAACTTCCCAGAAGAGTGGGGGATTCCCAATCCATGTTCCTTACCAATTTGCACGGCTACCTGCATGGACAAATCCCTCTTTGCCGGGGGAATCTCCTGCCGACTTTGTTTGACTGTGAAGCAAACGTGCAGAGACAAAGAGAGATTTTCCCCCCTTTCTTGATTCGATTGGGAAAGATCCTATACGGGAGTAGAGTTGTTCCGCAATTCTAAGTATAGGAAAATTCGGGGAGATGAGGATTTCGCCCCCCGCTGTACTTCGGTCAAATCAGGAGAGCCGAATGGTTTCCCCCCTCCCCCCCCTCCTCAAACAGGTCATCATGGTTTCCGATAGGGTGCCTCGAATAGCCTTGTCCACTCCCATATCCTCAACGTGGCTTCTTGAGGCAAATGGTGGCCCTGATTGACCTCAGGGCATCGAAAGGCAGGAATCCGTATCACCATTGCTTCTGTGCGCTGTCGTATCAGCCTGCTTCCACTTTTCGATACCTTCGGCAGGTCGGAAAGAATTGACCACGAACCCTAGTCCTTTCTCGCTGCTTTTCTTTTTGTTTTCTTTTGTTTTCTTTTTTTTTTTCCGTTAGACCCATGTTATACCCATGCCGCTAACTTCCCTGCAAGCTCTGGTAATACCTATGCTTCCGTACCTTACAGAGCTCTGTTCGACTCGCCTGGCTCCATCATTTCTTTTTCTCTGTGGAATATTTGCTGTTGGTCTTCCAGGGATGCCCTATGTTGTCTCTGTCCGCTATCTCTGTCGCGACATGGTCTCGTGCACTTCATCTTGGGCATCAGCCATGTCAGTCCTGCACTGTTTGTCCATTGGGGTCTTTTTAATAGAATTGTTACCCCGTTTCCAGATGGGCTTTCTGTGAATTATTCCTCTTTCTCTCTTTCTCTCTTTCTCTCTCTCTCTCACTTACGCACTGTGGTCTTCTAGACACATCTCAATTCTTTTTGTGATACTTGTTGTGGTGTACCAGGGTACTGTGGCATATCTTCCTCGACTACATGCAAACGTGTTAGCCCAGTCTTCGTTTCACTATCACTATCATTATCATCACACTTGGAGTTTCATATATATCTTTCTTTCTTTTTTATCTCCTTCTTCTTCTATCTGTTTGAGGCAGATCGACGTGAGCTGAACAACAATCAAGTGACATCCAACCCAGGCATCAATTATGAGCAGCTTTGCAAGGCGCAATGAAGGGAATGATGCGTATCTCATGAATCACCAAATGGCAGTGCCTGGCTCGTACGGTCAGCCGGAGAGTCATGAATTCAAGCAAGAGAGCCATGATTTCAACACTGGATCCAGTTCATACCATTTCCCTCAGCATTCCTTCAACCCATATGGGTCCCAGTTTGGGCAGCCCTATGGTCCACAGTCGAGTCTGTCTCCGGGGTTGCAGCATTTGCAATATACGTCGGAGCATTCGATTCCATCGATGACAACACCAGATGACCCAAGGCTACACCATCCGCCGCAGTTCATGTCGCAATCGCGCTACCTGCAAGGGCCAAGGTATCTGCCCCGCGACCCGCTGGGTGAAACAGAGATTGAAAACCAGGAGTCTCACAATGAGACTACATTGTTATCAGAGGCTGTAGTGCCTGCACTTAGTGGATTCCCTGATGTAAAAGAGTTTGATCAACTGATGCAGAAGTGAGTGATCTATGGCAACCCATGCTAGACCTAGGGCTAATATCTCATAATTCTAGCTATGTCGAGGACCTATCTATCAAGAAGCAAGATAAAGCGTTGATATATGCTAAAAGAGCCCGTAACATCAGAACTGTGTTGATTGACCCTAAAGATACGGCGGTGGAGTCGGCTCAATTCCGGTATGCTTCTCTTTGATTTAATTAATTGCCTGCCTTGCTAAAAATCAAAATCAAAATCAGGTTCTGGGTCAAAAAGATGTTCAAGCTCCAAGCAGTGGGATCGGATGTAAGTATCGCTTGTCCCACTTAACATGACCAGTCAATGCTAATGGAGTAATTTGTTACGATGTGAAGCACAGGAAGATGATCTGTCACGAGGGAAAGCCAGTTGCAATCCGGGAGAAATTGTTCAAAATTCTCACCAAGGCCCATCAGCAATGCCAGCATGGTGGTCGAGACAAGACATCTGCTCAGGTCCGGCGGATCTATTCATGGTGGGCAAATCCGAGTTATATATACATACACATGACGTGTCTGGCTCACAGTCACTGACTATATCATTAGGGTGCCCAAGGAACTGATATCCCGCTTCGTCAAGATCTGTCCGACCTGCCAGGTGCGCCGTGGTGGATCACGCCTGACACCACCCAATTCGCGAAGAAGTTCCCCCAGACTGGAGATGGTCTCTCGATCCCCCAAACTGCCGTCGCCGCCAATCTCACGACGAGAGTCGACGTTTGCTGGTCAGATTCCCCTCGACAGGACGCAAGCAGACTATTTCGGTCATCTACATGGTCACAGTGGCTGGTTGGATAGTCATCAAAATGTGCAAGGTCGCTCGAATCTAGGTAACGGAGTTCGGTCGTTCCAAGGTCCCATGGGTAATCTTTCACACCCAATTGCTGGCACCCTGGATCCCTTCTCCACCGATTTATCCATCCCTCCATCCCAATTGAGTTATACAACGGGATATGTCCCGACACATGGGGCTGCGCCTCAACGAGAGTTTTGATTTGTCTTTTCTGGTCGACTTGTGTGAATGTTGCTTTTTGATATTATGGGAGTATACTACTTGCGTACTCCCCAAAAGTATACCTTGCTAGGAGCCTCTAGATCGTCTTATGGTTTCTTGTCAACCACAAGTCTGATACGTGGCATCCACGAACAGGGCAAGAAGTTGATTCTCATTTGTTACAGGGCCTTGAGTGTACGAAGAGACAAGAGATTCCAACAGTGAATGGTAGGGAAGGGAGGAATTCGAATAAAAACGGAAAGAATATGGGGAAGAAAAAGAAAAACAAAGACCAAAATACTCTTTACATGATTGAATAATTGAATCTTGAATATTTGCATTATACAACATAGGCTACGTGTGAATGGTAACCGATGGCCCCCAAAAGTACCGAAGTTTTGAGAGAAAAGCCGAGAATTTCCATTTTCTGGTCAGCACTTTAGAATACATCAATCAGATATGCACATGGTCCGTGATCGTATTCGATATTCGATATTCGGTAGTCGATTCCGGGTTTATTCGAGCCTCATGTGACCATTCCTAAATGCATACAGATTGGCGACATGGAAACATTAATTCATAGCAACTCCCAGCGTGGGGGGGGCTTGAGGGGGGTATTGCATGGTTTCAAGGCACTCGGTGCTTGTGAGATAGACGATCACCAGTGTTCCAGGCAAATATAGAAAGGAACGATCGGATTGGATTCAAAACTCCATCTCGGAACCTTCAGAAGATCCAAGATATTATCAATTCTTCAACTCATTCAAAAAGAAGACAGGACTCTAAACAGGAAGCGAGAACTTCTTGCCCTTCAAAACCCTGGGAGAAAAAAAGCGCGAAAGTTAGTGTCCACATCACACATCTGCCTATTTTGGGGTTGAGCCGATTGGGCTTACTTGTTGTAGTAAATGTAAAAGAAATCGGAGTAAAGCAACGTTTGGATGATTCCAGCAATAATGCTGACAGGCTGGAAGGAACGTTGGAAGGAGGCTTCGGTGAAATAGCGGAAGACCCAGTTCGGGATGTAGAGTGCCCTATAGAGTCCTAGAGCAAACAGGTAGTGGGTGGTGATAGTATCGGCCTCCCCGGTTCGTTGTAGCATGAATAGTTGTGGCAATATAGCAACCGACTCCAACCAGATGGAAAAAGTCCACAGTATCTACAGGACGTTAATCTTGATGCTTCCACACCACAGACAAGATGCAGCTAACCTCAGAGATGCGATAATCGCGTGGAAAGAGAATCGCGAGCACGGCACTAATTCCGAGGAGGTATTGAACCTTGAAAGTATCGATGTTGGGATCATGTGTGGGTTTGAAGTCGTTGAGCATGAGGTAGATGACGTAGGCCGAGGAACCGATAAACAAAAGTTTGAACGTCGTGAGGTATAGGGAGTCGGTGAACGTCCAGAAAAGATCTATTAAGGCGCATGAGCGATTGCGATGAACATAAAGCCGACAGTGACGTCGAGACCTACCGAGATACCGAGTGACAAAAACGAGAAGGTATAGCACCTGCGATTTGAACGACAACCCGGAACAACTCTGCGATTTGCCATTAGTTGGAAGTTATATGCGGCTTTATAGACAAAAGAACATACGCTCGACGTCTTCATCTTCTGCAGAAGCATGAAGATCGATGCCAAATGGGAGAAGTCGGCTGCGATTGAACGTTAGTATATCGCATTGGTTTTTGGTTTTATGTCGTACCTAATAACCTGAAGAGATTCATTATGCCGGAGACGGGTTTCAATTAGCAGTATGAATAGTGATCTAAAGTAGGAAAGAGAAAAAGAGAGGAGGAAGAAGGAGAGGAGAGGGATGAGTTTGAGAATTGGTAGGAGTTTACACCAAAACAGCTGAGTTGTTGACACGAAGGCAAAAAATGGAAGGGGAACTTAAATTACTTGCAGATCAGGTACAATGGGGGTGGATGTGCATTACATTACATGGTATGTACATGACATGGTATGTAACGTACACCCGGTACATACCTGAAAATACATACTTTAATAAATTGTGTATTCTTTCAAAGTATGGAAAAGTACGGAGTAGTCATATATCCATGGTAAGAGATACAGACCTAGGTACTCAATAAAAAGAACTCGTACAAGAATAATATTTCCATAAGTATTTATACATCGCCTGGAATGCATAATGTCGTCAAATCATCATATTGATACAACCTGGGAAAGAAAAAAAAAAAATCATGATCGTCACCTACGACCTCCCAATGCCCAGACACAACCAGACACATGACCGGATAAAACGCCGAGTTACATTGCCATTGTAGGACAAACATGTATGATTTGCCTCGCTAGAACAAGTTTCCGCCCCCAATACTCTCATCGGCCATTCGCTGGAGATGGCCTTCAGCTAGCTCGCTCTTCAGGGCGCAGATTGAGCTTTCGCGATCCAGTCGATCCCAATCTCGAAGTTCCGCTCGCTTAGACCTCTGCGTCTCTGCGATCTGCTCAAGAAGTTTTTCTTTGTCGACATCAAGCTGAGCCAACCGCTTCTCCACAGCAGGGTCTAGAAGTGACGGAAGACTCCGACCTTCGGGGATGATAGTACATAGTCCCGCAAGATGGTTGATCCCCCTCGGAGCCAATGGTTGACTCACAGATGGTGTGCTGGGTTGCCGGGTAGTCGAATGTCGGTAACTGCCACCTGGTGCGGGGGATGAAAAAGAAGCGCGAGGACCTGCTGGTGGGGGTTGCGAAGGTGCCATAGTTCCACGGCGTACCGGCGGAGACCCCGTCCAAGCTTCACGTGGGCCAGGTCCGCGGCGAGGACGAGTCGGCGCTGATAGTAAAGAAACATGCGGGGGACCGCGGTACTGGTTAGATGAGGGCCTCGGCCCCTGATAAGGTCCTGATGGCGGCAGCGGAAGTGGGCTTGCACCGTGGTTTTTCGGTTGAGTGGGAATGTTGCCACTAACCCTGGTCCCGCTTGTCTGAGGTTCCAAATGTGCTCTCTCTGGAATCGAAAAAGGCGAATGATTTCCAACCGATACTCGGTCCTCATGATCTGGCCGTTGTTGTGGGTGTGAGGGCTCCGTCTCGTAGATCTGATCCCGGTGCGGAGATCGACCTGAAGGTTTTGACGAACGTTGGAAGGGCACCGGAGAGCGAATCGGCGACTGAGTACGAGCTCCATGGGAAACCACAACGGGCTTTTCTATAGCCGGCGATGAACGTCGAGATATCAGGACGGACTGTGAGGGTGCAGGCGAAACATGTCTTGATGGCGACAAAGTCCGATCTCGTTTCGCCGCATCACGAGGATGGCCTCGATGGGGGGCATGAGCTGGACTTTGTGGCAACAAGACTTCTGGCTGTACTCTCGGCGAGGAAGCTCTAGGGGGTTTGTCAACATTTAAGACGGCAGGGCCGTCTCGTCTCGCGGATCGGAAGACTTGGCTGCCAGGAGTTGTATCGCGTATCCGTCTTGGACTGTTGCGAGCACGGGATGCGTTGCGTGATCTGCCATCACTGTAGGGCGATTTTGAGCGCCATTTCGGGGGCGGTGATCTGACCCTTTCATCTCTTCTGGGCGAGAACCTTCTCGGTGGAGATCGTCGTCTTTCATAGAGGGGTGGACCGAAGTTTCTCCCCGGAGGAGTACGTGAGCGGCGCCGGTATAGCAGTGGTGATCGACTTCGTAGGCGCCCATATCCTCTATTTGATGACGGTACCCAAGTGTCGGCTCGTGGTCGAGGAGGGCTTCGGGTTCGTGGTGGTGAACGCCGGTGACGAATTTCATACCCCCGAGAAGGGGAACGACCGTTTCTTTCGGCTGGGCGATAGCTTTCTCCACCTCTTCGTTCATCAAATCTATGGAAATACTTAGAAATTTTTATTTCCTTTCAAACATTTTGATGCGTCTACAAACCTTCTGCGATCCCAGTCCATTCTGGCACACGGATAATATGAATATTGGAGGGAGTGAGATGAATGTCGAAGTACCCTGAGGTAGGAAACAAAGTTGGAGCACAGGAACACACAATTACCTAGTGCTACTTTCCCAGCTCCTGGGGGAGAGAGAACGGAAGTCGATCAAAGTACAAGGGTAGATGAGAGAATGGAGCTAAACCCCTTTTGGAACACATTTCCCGTGACTGTGAGCCTCAATGTATGTACGCACATAATATAATATAACTACATATGTAGTAGTTAACTAGTTAGTATAGTACTTTGTCGATATGAGCAATTGGTACAGACAAATCTACGGAGTATTCCACTTGAGGTCTCATAGATTATTCAATAAGAACCTTGATTCAAAACTAACCGTACATTACAGGCCATATGGTTTTCTTGTAACCTAGAATGTACACCAAAGCAGCCAAACTCCAATGCTCATCATGAAAGAAGCACGCCCAGGGGACTCAAATGAAAGAAAATCGAAAGAAAACAAAAATACACCGAAAGAAGTATCTTCAATGCTTCCCTCGTCTCTCCTCCTCCTTTCGGAATCTTTTGCGGTGCTCCTGTGCAATCATATCACTTAAATCCTCCTGGAAACCCCAGTTCGGTGGATTCTGCTGTTGTCTCTGTGACTCGTACATGCTCTGGAGGCTTTCTTTGCTGAGGCCATCGCCGGATTGAATTGCATCCAAGTTCACAGACACTTCCACATCGCCAGGCTTCTTGCGTTTCCGGGTTTGGTCATCTGCGCCAAGAACAGGAGGCTTGCCTGTTGAATTGCTGAGGTCATAGGCCCTATCACCTCCGAAAAAGCCTTCTACGTTCGTTTGCCTCTCAGGAATGACTTGATAAGCACTCCGAGGGTGAACGGACTCCTCTGTGTCAATACCACGATGGTGTTTGCGCACATCAAACTCCCCAGAAACATTCTCAGCGCCAACGAACTCAGATGGTACTGCTGAGTCTATTCCACTTGGGGTTTCCATGCCACTAGGAGAATGGGCACTTGCACCCACGCCATCTTCGTCGCTTTCTTCCTCATGTTCATCCTCCTCCTCCTCTGCTTCACTCTCCTCTTCTGACTCTTCTGACTCGTGCAATTCTCCCCAAAGATCTTTTTCGATCGGCTCTCCTTGTTGGGCATGTTGTTGAGGTTGTAAAACACCGAAGATATCACCTCCGAATAATGGGCGGTTGTGTTCATCGACAGGTGGCTTTCCATAACCTCCGGGATGGTAGCCCCACGACGCGCCGGGCGGAGGCGGTGCATTGAGGCCGGGAACTTTCAACGCGGGGTAGGAAGATGGGGGACCATATCGCTGCTGGTTGACGAGCCATGGGGGAGGGGCTCCTGGAGCCATACCAAGAGCATCCCTTAACTCATCGCTCAGCTCACCAGGTCGGAGGTGCTTGAGGTTGGTCTCGTATTCTTTGCCCTCGTAGTAGATCTCGCCGTAGCGAGTCAGCTCTGGCTTAGTTTGGAAACGGAAGAATGCCTCGTAAAGCTTCTGGTAATCAATGTCCAGCTTGCCCATCTTCGGTTGCACTCTTTCGCGTTGCTTCTGTTTCAAGCTTGACTGTTCCTGCTTCTCTAGAGCGGCATCGCGCATTTCAGATATTCCGGTCTCTTGTATAAATTTCGGGAGAGCAAACGGCGCCTTCTCCACTCCCCGTTTGGATGAGAGATACTCTCGTTTAAGCGACCAGTGGGAGGGTACCGGGACAACATTGCGATGGGCTTTAATGTGAACGAGGAGTCGAGGATCGGGGGCGGATGTATCTGTCCATTCAACGATTTCGGGCTTTCGTACCATTGCTTTGAGTTCAGCAACGGATAGCTTGTTCATTTCTTTCCGCTTCTTTTTTGAAATCTTGGGTTCGCTCTCTTGCTCTTCATCGGGTATTTCATCACCATCGTCAAAGAAGACCTCCGGTTTATCAGTCTCCTTGGTCAATGAATTTTCGTCCACTGTCTCGTCGAATTTTCCGGCAACGCCTTTGTACATTTCCCATAGCGGATCGGTTGGCTCAATAAACAGATCAGTGTTGGTATCAGCCGGCGCATCCTGGGCGGTAGCCACTGGCGGAGGCGACAGCTCCCTTGATGTGGTGTTGTCAACGGGAAGGCTCGTAGTCTTGGTAGTAGTGTCAGTTTTACGTCAACTATGGCTGAGAGACTTTGAGGGATATATGTTCCTTACCTCGGCTTTCTGCGCCTTTTTCTTGGCTCTTCTGAGCTGGTTCTTGCTCAATTTCATGGCCGCGGGAAGGTTTGGCAGCCGCTCAATGAACGCGATGCCAGGCGGAGAATATTGCAAAAATGGAAAAGAGATATGGCACTGACAGCTTGGATCAATTGCGTGCAACGATAGATTCAGGTAGCGAACGACAGTGGGCGGACAAGGTTAAAAACAGAATATATTGCATCTCGATTGTCATCACGTGCGTCCAGCTACAATGCATTACCGCCTTCATTTTGCCACACTCGCGTCACTTACATAAAAAAGCAACCTCGAGGGCTTAGAAGCCTTCCAACGTTGGAAGTTTTTGTCATTTCTTCTACGGTGATTGACTAATATACATTGTTATAGATGATTTTCGGTATTGTTCCAATGAATTACTGGCACGAACCCCCCTAAAAACCAAAAAAAAGATAAAGCATTATTGTACAAAATGTGAAACAAAACGAGCCATGTTCCATGATGAGACTATCAACGGGGATAACAAATACAATCCCGACACAATTTGCACCGGAAGCAAAAGATTTAATCAGGTTTGCAGAGCAGTATTTCACTAGCCCAGCCATATCATAGGGAGAGAATCCGGATGTAAAATGTGTGCTGGTGTTGATGTGAGTAGTGCAATGTTGAGCTCAGCAAAGCCTAGAAGTTTAGGCAGACAGTCTATTTCTTCTTCTTTGCGGACCTCGATTCTGTTCAAGTCTTAAATTTTGATCGTAGCATGGTACCATTAGGTGTAGAGGAACTTACCTGCAGCAGTTCGTTTCTTCTTCGGCCGGCCCTTTCCTCGTAATTTGGCACTATGAATCGGATGTTTAGTGAGAACACATGTGGTATGGGACAATAATTCTTACATCTGAATGGCTTCTTCTCTGTCATCTTCAGCTTCGTCAAATGTTGTCAATCCAAGAGGTTTATAAGTGTTTTGTAGATCTTGGAAAGACACAGTCTGCTTTGGGTACCAGGCTGCAAGCGCTGGCCCACGCAAGCGCTGTCTCAAGACCTTATTTCCGAGTCGAAGTCGCTGTGGGTTGAAATTAAGAGAGAATATACGGCATTGGGTCTAGAGAATTGCCAATTAGTGAATGCCAGCAGAGTGCAATAAAATGGGTTGTTGAACCTTAACTAGATCCAAGATCCGATTTGACGCCATTTTCTTTTCTCAGAGGTTCAGAACAATCATATGCAAAAAGAAATTGGTGAAGCAGCTGTTCACAGCAGCTCGGTAGACAGATGTCATCGAACTCAGGGAGATACAAACTGAAGTTTGCCCGGTAGTCATGTGACCTCCGAAGTATACCGCCTACCTATCATCCATGCTTTTACCTCAAGGGAAAAACAAAACGAAAAAGGGAAGAAGAAAAAAAAAAGAGCGCAAGAACAAAACTGGACTGAGACTAAAAAGTGCTACAACAATTGACATGTCTCAAAACAAGAACATAGCGGATTCAGCAGGCTTAAAAAAGCCAGCGGTAAATCTGAAAAGATCATCATCAGTCTTTGGGTCAGATGCCACACAAAATTCACAAAAACGGCCCAAGGTGAATACCGTATTCTCATCTCACTGAGTGAATTCCCTTGGATTGAATTAATTTGCTAACATCTACGTGTATCAAGGTTCAACAATCAAGTCGGCCATCGGATACTAAGTTCTCTATTGGTGAGAGCCGCAGCATGGCCAAGTCTAGCAACAATTCTCGTCTACTTCTTCTACAGCACCTCGTTCGAGAGATTTCAACCGATTCCGATCTCACTGGCGCTGACTCGGAGGTTATGGATGCAATTTTGAGGCTGGATGACACATTTCGTGGGACGAAGGATCAATTGCCTTCCAGAGATTCTTCCATGGCTGGTGAGGTCCCAAAATCACACCACTCAGATCACAGCTCCAAGTTGGTCGGCGGATCGTGTGACCCTAGGCTCCCCCCGATCATGGATGACAAGCTGGAACTTGCTGTCTTTACCCATCCGGCTCTTAGCAACAATAACAACACGACCTACGACCGACTCGAGATTCTAGGCGATGCATACATTGAGCTGATTGCAACCAAACTTGTCTGGGAGAAATTCCCAGATTTACCAGCAGGTCGAATATCACAGATTCGGGAGATCCTTGTTAAGAATGAGACACTTGCGGGCTTCGCAGAAAGCTTTGGTTTGGACAGCAGGGTTTCTGTGCCGCCAAACTACAATACCCCATCAAAGCGATGGACCAAGACAAAGGGCGACGTCTTCGAAGCCTACGTCGCAGCAGTCATACTATCCGATACTGTTTGTGGCTATGAAGTAGCCGAGCATTGGCTAGCAGGTCTATGGATGCCAATCCTCAAGAACTTGGGACATCAAAAAGGGGAGTTACGCTCCAAGGAGGCTCTTGCTAAGAAGATCATGGGGAAAAATGTCAAACTTGAATACATTGAGGAACGTCCATCAATTCAGCAGAAGGGTGGCACACAGACTTTCTTCGTCGCGTTATATCTCACTGGGTGGGGATGGGGCAGGAGGTTTCTGGGTTCCGGTCAGGGTTTGAGTAAAGCAGCTGCAGGTGACGAAGCAGCGAAGAAGGCCTTGCTGAATACGCCTTTGATTCTTGAGATCATGTCAGCAAAAGAATCATGGGAGTCAAACTCTTGAAATCCTTTGATCATATGCCTCTCACGATCGGGTCAGTTTCTTCAAGTTACTACCTAGATCCCAACATTACATCCACAGTGAAGAAAATAGCACTAGATGGATACATCCATGCACATCTACCTACATAGGACATACAACATAAGGTAGGTCCATGATATTCACGTCCCAGCATTTGCACTATGTTAATATACCAATTCCCATCTATTCTTAATCGTTCTCCCTACTGATTCCTCTCTGAATCATATGATCGCGAGGTAGATGGTTCTATTATTCACCGTTAAATAAGGTAACATGCTTTTATCATAGCGAAGTGTAGTGGTCTAAACCTTTTAGGTAAAGACCATATTCCTAGCACTCGATTTTCAATGTCAGTGTTTAGTGGAGTATTGTTATATTTTATGTTACCAGCCAGTTCTAGTCCTCCGCACAACCCAGTTAAGAGGGGATCTAGAGTATCTGCAATGAAGCTGTAGATGTGACTGGAAATCTCTAAATGCGTCGAGAGGAGAGAAACTATCTACAAGCATGAACTAGACTAAAGAACTAGAAGCTAGACTACGCCAAACCCGCATTATATATATTTATAATAGTAGTAGTATTTAAGGTAATAACTTTGAATAAAAAGGAGACATATATAAAGGTTCGCATATTAAATAAGAGAGAGATATAAATACTCCCTTTAAAATAGATATTTATATATAAATTTAATACTAATAGTATACTTAAAAAGTTTAAAATAATAATATATATCTATAGAGATCTTTAATAGATAACCACTAAAGAAAAGAGAGCTACTATATTAGCTATTAAAGTAGTAAAAGTAATATTTATATTAGTAATAGCCTTTAACTTTAAAATAAGATATTAAGATATTATTACTATGTTCTTAAATTTAGTCCTATAAGGTAAGGTATATTTTAAGTATTTATTAAGATTAAAAGAGAAGGTTATTATTAGCTATTATATAAAGCGCTTTATAAATTATATATATTATTAAGACTTTAATAATAGGAAGTAACTAATATATTAGTTAGATTAGGTGCAATTATTAATTTAAAGGATCTTTATATCTTTATAATAAATAAGATTATTATCTTCTTTTATATTAATAATAATAATATTATACCTAGATCTTATATATACCAAGAATGTAATGATTTATTATTTCAGGTAGACTTCGGCACAACCCATTCTAACCCGGACCCAACCCAACCCAACCCAACCCAACCCAAAGTGGGTTTTGGGTCCATTGCTTCGACCCAACGATGGGTTTTGGGTTATAACTAATAACCTAAAACCTATTGGGTAACCTATTAGGGCCCTAATATATTATAAATAAAACAAACCAAAAATTTATATGGTTAAAATTTAAAGATTTAAATATATATATATCTAGCATAGTAACTCAATTTTAAAACAAAAACAAATTTATATAAAAAGCATTTTATACTATTAAAAAAGTATATTTAAAAATGCTAAGACTTAGATTTTATGAATTTTATGAATTTTATGAATTTTTATACAAAAATGGGTTCAAATGGGTTATTATTGGGTTATTGGGTTTTAGGTTGGGTTGGGTTATAGAGGGCGGAACCCAAAACCCAATGGGTTGGGTTTTGGGTCGGAGACTCCGACCCAAAATGGGTTCTGCCGAAGTCTAATTTCAGGTATATAGGTATTCTTTCTTAGTATCTTTAATTAATAATATAGGTATAGGTATTATTAATAGACTTAGTACCTTAGGTAAGGATAGGTTATAAAGTTCTTATATATTATACTAAATAGTAATTAATTTAATATATAGTAGCTAAGAATTCTATAATTCTGTGTCCTTTAATATAACGCGAGAGGATATCGCAGAGAGATATAAATTAGTTATTTTAATATTAGTATATTAATAACTTCTGATAATCTTTTAAGGATTTTTTAGGGGTTACCTTCGATAATTCAGGGGTTAACTCGGTTATTAATTTATCTACTAATTCGGCGACAGTAAGGTAAAATAATAATACAATCTATTTATAGTATAGATCTATTTAATTAGAACGATTCTGGGCTTATAACTGATAGAAATCACCGGTATTATAATATATAGTTCAAAATAACAGATATATATAACTCTAACTGACTAAAATGACAAATTCCACTATTTAATAATCTGCTTAGGTATAGTTGACTAAGCTCACTATATATTTTATATAGGGCCCACTAGACCTGGCAGTGACCCTCCGGGTGGTCCATGACCTTGGACCCTCCGAGGGTCCAGCGACCCGCCAAGACCTAAATTTTGACATAAATATATATAAATCATGGTTTATAAGCATATTATTTCCTAATTAGGATAGGTTATGCATGCATAATTTCCTTGGCGGGTCCAGAATCCGGACTTTGGACCCTCCTTAGCGTCTTGGCGGGTCCAAATGGAGGGTCACTGCCAGGTCTAGGGCCCACTATTACAGTGGTCTATATATTTTCCGAGGTATTAAAGACTTGGGTTCCTAGTTATGTATTGTAATATAGCTTTCGACATATTCTTTTATATATTAATATCTATATTACTATTCCCTAATATATTAGAATTTATTCTTTTTTATTATTTTCTAGTCTTTTTATTCTATATAATAGTTTTATTAGTCTATATTAGTTTAGTAAATACTATTAGATCTAGGCTTTTAAAGTATTATAGTTAGTATTAAGACTATTAATTTATTTATAATATTATAAAAAGAGTCTTTTCTTCTAATTAAATTATTTAGTATTAATAATAGTTAAGTAAGATATTATTTTTTATAAACTATTTCTAATTAAGGATTAGATTATATTTTTTTAATTTTATAAAAAGTACAAAGATCTATTATTATATATATCTATCTATATAAATAATAAAGAATATAATATAAATACTTAATTTATTAAAGGTTCTATTAAAACCTCTAAGTATTTCTAATTAAATTATTTTATTTAAATTTTAAACTACTTTCTAAGTGGTAAGATTATTATTATATTTATAAAAATAGAACTATTTACTTTTATATTATTAAGTACTAAAATAGAAAAAGAGTAACGTATTTCACTACCGAGCGGCGCACACCACCGAGTGGCGCACCCCATCGAAAACGCGTCAATTAATTTAACCCCTTTTTCTTCAACCACCTACCATGCCACCAATTCGCTCCTAACACTCTAGAAATTTAATAGAGTAGGAGGGTAGGATCTTACTAGCTATCTAGGCTTTTAAGAATCAAGAAATCTCTTCAATTCGTAAAGTAGTACGCCGTTTTACTATACCTGAAACTAGACCTGGCAGTGACCCTCCATTTGGACCCGCCAAGACGCTAAGGAGGGTCCAAAGTCCGGATTCTGGACCCGCCAAGGAAATTATGCATGCATAACCTATCCTAATTAGGAAATAATATGCTTATAAACCATGATTTATATATATTTATGTCAAAATTTAGGTCTTGGCGGGTCGCTGGACCCTCGGAGGGTCCAAGGTCATGGACCACCCGGAGGGTCACTGCCAGGTCTACCTGAAACTACCCTCCGCCGCCGCCTTAGTAGTATATAAAACCGCGCGAATTCTTATACTAATTACTTTAAATTAACTAAAATTAAAGAGGAATCTCTTTAAAAATAGATTCTCTCTATAGATCTATATAGAGTAGCTCCCTAGCCCTCTATAGTATAAGAAATAGTAGATCTTCTTCTTTAAAAGCGTAGAACTACCCTAGTCCTTTCAGTTAGCCAAAATTAGGTTATAAAATTTGTTAAATAATATCCTCTCCTCTCCTCCTAATTCTTAAAATAATATAACTATAAATATATAAAATATAAAGACCCTAAAATTATTAGGGAGTAGTTTAATCTAGTTTAAAAAATAATTATTTAATTTAGAATTAACCCTAATAATATTTATAACTTTAATAAGACTAGTTTCGTAATAGGGTTAATAGTAATTATAAAAGTTATAATAAGGAGTAAATATTATAACTAGTAAGTACTTTTATAACCTAGAAATTAAGAGTAGGTAACTATTATTAAGTATATAAATACTTCTAGCTAGGTCCTTCTTTTATATATAATTTTTAAAGGTAAAGTCTTTCTTAAATTATAGTTTAAGGGCCTCTTAAAGGATTAGCGCTTTAAGGTTAATCCTAATAGCTAGACCTTTAATAAAATTAGCTTTTATTAGCTTAAGAAGCTCTTTNCTTTAAGGTTAATCCTAATAGCTAGACCTTTAATAAAATTAGCTTTTATTAGCTTAAGAAGCTCTTTATTCCTAGTACTTTTTTATATA